ACATTTATTAATACCATATACTGAAGCTGATATGTGAATGTGGCAAAAGCTAAACATGGTCCACTCATGTTTTCCATAAATAATAGTATTGATTCATCTATAAGCAATAAATGAGGGCTTTGAGTGGAACTCAAGCATGCTGGGGAATAATTTCAGGCTAAAAATGCACATCAAAACGACAAAATGTAAAGATTATTTAAAGAAAATAGCCAACATTTTGGAGAATCCAAGTTGGAGTATCACTTTCACTTATTGGGATATAGTATAGATATGTACAAACACAAAGGGAAAGAGTAACAGCATACAGTTCAGAAGGTTGTTCCTCAGCCCCTCCAATTATCTTTCCGCTGCCTGATCTCACGAATAGCTTCAACAGCAGACTTGCATCCTACCTTTCCCTGAGTAACAAGCAAGAGATTCCAGTTAAAAGTTTAAACCTCAAAAGCCAAAGACAGATGCAGGAACTTGTTTACTTTCTGACACCATCCCTTCACTTTATTGGCCATGCCATGTCACTGAGAAAAGTAAAAAATTTGAGGAAACAAGCAGAGCTAAGCACTTTGCAAACCAATAGAAAGCTAACCTGAACCTCTGGATTATCAACCCGCATGAATGGGTTAGTCTCCAGTTCTTCCTCAATAGTGGATGGAACAGTTGGAAGCCCATCCTTTCTTTTGTGCTGAGCCCAAGATAGCTTTTGCTCTATTTTTGCATTGTCTGGTTCAACTGTTAAAGCAAACTGCAAATTCTTCACCGTGTACTGCAGAAAAAAAAAAAAACAACAAAATCATAAGAATCCCTGATGGGGACTATTGGGATTTGGGAAGTTAAAGATTAAAATTGACAAGAAATCCAAACTCCACACGGGACAAGCTTTGATAAAGAAAATGAAAAAAAAAAATAAAAAAATGGATCAATCTTGCACCTGCACAATATACTAGAAAATAATGTCATTTGAGTTAGTATTATCAATTCAACGTGAAACATGGTTATGATGATATTGAAAGAACAAAAAAATATGGAAAATCATAGGACTCCCCTGTGATTGATAGCTTAATGCACAGCAAATCACCTTTGAGTATCTAGCCAAATCAAGTCTTATTTTGGGTCATGCCATTTGTTTAGAAATAAAACACAGGAAATAAATAGTATTCAAGACTGGACAAGTTCAATAGATTTTCAGGATCTGTAATACATTTCATATGTTGGCATTTTATCATCAACATGAGATTGTACACATGAAAACTTGCTGAGTGATTGCTGCAAAAGGTTGATAAACATATATATGTGCATATATTACCTCATGGCCACAGTAAACACGAGTTGGTTTCGGCAGTGAAGCCAATGTCACACAAAGTGATTGATACATTTGTTCTGCAGTGCCCTCAAAAAACTTCCCACATCCAGCTATAAACTGCAGGGGATGAGAAAGAGGGGTCAGAACCAGCAGCAAAATAGGGAAGCTCAACATATCTAGGGAGGACAGTACATAATCGTCATTGATTGAGACTTTGGTCATTAATGCATGAATTAACACATAAGAGAAGGCATATCTTAAATCTTATAACTTCTCTTCATAAATTTTAGGTGCAAAATTTCATGAAATGTTATGTCTAATCTAAATAATGAAGAACTTCACACTTACCAGTGTATCTCCTGTGAAAACAGCAGGTTCATCTCCTTCTTTGTCAGTAACATAGTAACTTATATGACCTTTAGTGTGGCTGGAGATAGCAATTAGCAATAGTTATTAAAGAGAGAGAGAGAATTGCAAAGAGCTCATATGGTGGGCAGCACAAGCAAAATGGTATTTGACCACCATTAAAAGAGGCATGAGATTTTATTTTTTTTAATGGAGCATAATATCAATTTACATGCATTTCAAAAGAACTCACAAAATAAAGAAAGCAAGATAGTAAACAACATCGGCAGAAGACAATGTGGCATAATAGATTGAAGTTTGGAAGTCTCAAAACTCTTACCAAGGTGTGTGAAGAGATAATATGTTGATGTTAGCTCCAAGAGATATCTTGTCACCATTTTCAACCTTATCAGTGCAACCCTGCACATTATCAGTTGAACCACCATAAACTTTTATTTCAGGTACCAACTGCTTTAGTTTATCATTGCCACCAGCATGATCCCTATCATATATAAGCATCAATCAGCAACCAGTAAATGCAGATAAACTAGGATAACAACCTTGACAAAAATCATGTAATTGCAGAATAGTGCAAGCAAACAAGAATTACTGACCATGAAATTGCAAAACCAAGCCACCAAACATAATCGAGGAAAATTGTAAATCATAATCAAATTGTAATATAGTATAAAATGATATAACAAAATGACAACTATTAATAAATGCAAACTGTCAAGCAATAATTACTACATCAGAGTAATACAATGAACTAAACTTCAAATCCATGCATACTCAACCATGTCTGTATCACCTGACTTCAGAGAGGAAGTTTGTCACGTTTTTTTTCATAGAGATTCAGCGAGTCTAAGCCTTGCGATTTAAAATATTTGAATTTGTATGAGTAAGGGAGATGGGGTGGAGACTGAGCATTCAAAGGTATAGGTTATGAACAGTTATTATAGTTCTTTTAGCTCCTTCACACATCAATTTTTTTATTTTATTCTTTATTTTTCACAAGCCCATGTGTTAATGTGTGAATGAGCAGAAGTCATGGCTTAAGAGATCTTCAGTATCACAACTTTTAAATCTGTCTCTTGGACATCAATACTCATCAACCTCCTCCAGTGGATCTTTTCCCAGAAAATAAATGCTTGATAGTACCAAAATTTCAAAGAAACATTTGGAATCTGACTTGTCAAAGCCTAATCAGTAATCATCCTAAATGGATGCAATGTCTAAATTTACTATGGCAACTTAATGCAAACAAATAAGTTCTATTAAAAATAGTAATAAAATTAAACTCTCAGGCAATGATTATCATAAAAGAAAAAGAATATTAAACTTAGGATGATTATATGTCTTACAGTAATTTATCAACTTCACAGCATAACCATAAGTGGACCTCCGTTTATGCAAATTTCAAAAGTATATGCTAAAACACTTTCAATGTGACAGATTATGAATTAAAAGCTCAACAACGTAACAATAGATTGCAAAAACATTGAAGAAAGATAAATGAAGATAAACACAAAACCTGAAAATCAACAATGACAACAAATTAAAAGAGTTGGAAACTTAATGGAAAATGAGCGGAGATAACGAACCAGTGGTGGTGAGTGGTGAGGACAAGTTTTAGGTCAACGCCGTTCTCCTGAGCTACTCGGGAGACCTTGTGCGGCTCGACCGGGTCCACCACAGCGGCTTCCTTGGTGGACTCATCGATAATCCTGTAAACAGTAAACACAATTGCCAAACGGCGAAAACAGTTAGAGCGGAACCCTTAAAGTTGGAAAGCAAATGAACGTTTCGAGAGTTGAGGTGGTAGTACATATAGGAATAGTTGTCTTCCAAGCATGGAATGTGCAGGATCTTCATCTCCGGCGGCCGGCGATTCCGATAACTTTAACCTGTTGCTTATCGCTCTATTCTCGTATGTACTAGGTAGTATACTGTACTTAATCTACTATTCTCTGGAAATCTCCATGGGCACAAATAGAATTAACCAGAAGCTGAAGCCTCGTTCCAGCAAAATGGCAAGTTTGTTATAAGATTTAGAGTTAATACCCAATATAGTCCTGGATTATATGATTTTATTTAATTTAATTTTAATGATTTTTTGTGTTTAATTTAGTTTTCAATTTTGATAATTTTACATAATTTAGTCATTTATTAAAAATACTATACAAATTAGAAATAGAGTTCTAATGGTAATTTCTCCATCTTTCATCCCATTTAACATGATTCCTTCTTCTTCAATAAGATCCACGCAAAAATACAAATCTTCGTATCTAAATATTTATTTATTTAAGGTTGAAGTTAACTTGAGTACGAAGATTTACATTTCTGCAATGATCTTAATAAAAGGAAAAATAAAGAATCATACCAAATTGGATGAAGGAAGAGAAATTACTATTATAACACTATTTCTAACCGTCTACTAACATAATTTTTAATAAAGACTAAATTATGTAAAATTATCAAAATTAATGACTAAATTAAACACAAAAAGTCATTTAGAATTAAATTGAATAAAACCATTATAGTTGATGATTATATTGAATATTAACTCTAAGATTTTTTTTCAAAAAAAAAAAAAACTCTAAGATCTTTTCTATATATATGACTTTAATTAATATATATGCGCAACATATTCTTACGGTAGATAAGATAATGGTGTCTCTTTTAACTTGGTCAAACGTCTTAGGCCAACTAATATAGTAATATACTTTATTGAATGATACGTTTTATCATCTAAATGCATAATTTAATATCTTTCTTAGTATATAAATCATATTTTTAAGAAAAATAATGACACTTAAACAATATTGATAATCTTTTATAATTATCTTGACTAAATTTTATTAACATCAATACATCAAAAACTTGACAGAAAATGATCATTGATAATCTTTTATAATTATCTTGGCTAAATTTTATTAACATCAATACATCAAAAACTTGACAGAGAATGATCAATCCATCTAAAACATGATCATACTAAATTATATAATAATCATAGTATCAAGAATCATGTTTTGTTCTTTATACAAATACACAACTTACGTCTCTATTTAATGTCTTATATTCAAATTATTTGTTTACATGCTTTTATCAAATTAATAACAAAACTCTTACACTCAATCATTGATACCAACATAAGATATATTTTTACTAATACTTAGCCATCTAGACAATAAATTGTAGCTCTTTAATATTATTCAAATTTATACTTTTGTATTATATATAAGAATACTTTATCAGACAGATAAATAAACCGTTTAATGCGCATCATTATTACACAAAATTATCTTATGCTTAATTTTAATCTATGTTCTTATTATATATGTGTAGTCTTGACTATAATTCGTATTACATAGTCTACTAATATTAATACACGACAACATATTTCAACAAAATTTATTGAAACCTTGTTAGGTGCTTCCTTACATTATTGGTTTAACACAATGAAGGAAAACCTTAAACCTATGCGGCTATGCTGCTAATTATATTGTCTCGCAAGATCACTTTCTTCCATCTCTCATCATATATCTAACTCAGATTTTTATCCTTGAGTTGCCTTAGCTTCTTTAGAGCTTCCACCGGGGACTTGGACTCCAGCTTATCCTATAATCAACAACAATATGGTATGCAATATTATTACTTCAAATCACTAAAATTCTTTAAAATTTAAGTTTTAATTTACCAAAAATTCACAATCATTACACTACATCGCCAGAAATCAAACTTATAACCTTATAGCTATCAAGCCAATTACTCAACCAACTCAGTTGGACTGCTCCAAATTTAAAATGTAAGCTAAATATTTAGACGGTTATTTGTCAATCAGTCACAGTAAAAACAGTATTAACTCTTTGTACTTTACTAAGTTGAGAAAGTAACTATGAACATATCAAAATCTCATCTCATAACAAAAGATACCTGAATCTTTGGTAAATCAACCCTGAGGAATGGATTGGTCTCCAGTTCATCCTCAATGGTGGAAGGGATAGTAGGAAGGTTAAACTTCCTCTGCTGCCGAGCCCATTCCAACTTCTCCTTCACCCTCACATTGTCCGGTTCAATTGTCGAACCAAATTCGAGGTTCTTCACAGTATACTATTGTCACATCCCGTCAAATACAAATAATTAGATATCAGTAAACAAAATTAATGCCCGAATTCAAAAATTGAACCAAACTCGAGATTCTTCACAGTATACTATCAAATCCCGCTAAATACAGACCTCATGGGCACAGTAAACCAGAGTCAGCTTTGGCAGAGCAGCCAATGTCTTGCATAATGACTCATACATCTGTTCGGCTGTGCCTTCGAAGAACTTGCCACAACCGCCAGCAAACTGCACATCAAATTGTGTATATATAGAAGGTTACGAGGTTATCTAAAACCATAACCTCGTAAATTTAAAACCATAAATTCGGGTAGACGAATCTTACCAGGGTGTCCCCGGTGAAAACAGCAGGTTGGCCTCCCTCTTTGCTACTCACAAAATAACTTATATGACCATTAGTGTGGCTGCACATTAAACAAAGGGTTACTTATAAGTTATAAGAAAATCAATAACTTCAAATATGAATTTAGCTAACACCCTATTGATCGAACCAGTCAAACTAGTATTTCTAATAAGATTTATTTCTTTTGTGCAATTTCTCAATCTCGTCCTAGATCAATCCAAACGAGTCAGACTAATATGGTCCATTTTGACAGCTCTATGAAACATAAATATATTTGTATATACCAAGGGGTGAGCAAACATGTGATTGTGGTATATGCCCCAAGAGCAATGGTGTCGCCGTCTTGGACTCCATGGGTGCACCCTTCCACGTCGTCAAGTGCTCCGCCGTAGACCCTCACTCCGGGCACCATTTCCTTCATCTTCTCATTTCCGCCGGCATGATAGCTACCCATATTATTACATATTCAGTTAGTATACAAGACAGATAAAATGAGACAGATGTAACAACCAGTAATAATATATATATTGTTGAAGTTATAAACAAACTGATGGTGGTGGGTGGTGAGGACGATCTTAATCTCAGCGGCGTTGGCGTCGGCGGCCTGGAGGACTTTCTCGGTGTCCGCCGGGTCCACAGCTGCAGCTTCTCTAGTGGACTCGTCTATAATCCTGCAAAGTATATATATACAGTGGGATAGACTGATTCTTGAATAGCATGCTGTTATAGAATAGGATAGGGATAGGATATTATTACAGGTAGGAATAGCGGTCGTCTTCGAAGCACTGAACGGGAACAATCTTCATCGGAGTTAGTTTCTGGTATGGTATGGCTTTTTCCTGGTTTAATTCAAGTGACAATAATCATGCAGTTTTTGTTACTCGCAGGTTGTATATGTTTATGACATTATATATTGCAGTGTAGAATTTTGGCGTAATATCAAGAAAACAATCAAGTAAAAGTTGGCGAGTTGGTCGGTGCGGCGGCACCGCTGCAGACTGCGACGACGAGGCCCAAATTGTGCTACGTGGCCGGCCTACATTTCGACACCCATTGCGCTTCAATCCCTACTTTTGGCAAATTATGCTGTGCATCCGTATGCATCAAGCATGGTGCATACGGATGCAAAAACGACGTCGTTTTTATAAAAAGCGCGTCTCCCCTTAAAAACAAAAAAAGGTTCGAAACTATAATTTCATAATCGATGAACTATAATTCCATAATTGATGAACTATAATTCCATAATCTAATCTATGAACTAAAATTTTCAGAATGAATGAACTAAAATTCCAGAATCTATAACTAAAATTTCAGAATCGATGAACTATAATTCCAGAATCGATGAACTATAGTTCCATAATCGATGAACTATAATTCCATAATCCATGAACTAAAATTTCATAATGAATGAACAAAATAATGTTGTTACTAGGAATCGAACCTGAATTTTTTTTTTTAAAGGGAGACGCGCGTTTTTAATAAAACGACGTCGTTTTTGCATCTGTATGCACCATGCATGGTGCATACAGATGCACAGCATAACTATTCCCTACTTTTAGAACATTCAAAATAGCATAAAAGGGATAATTTTAGCTTAAATTAATCAGTTACAAGGTTTCAAATGTAATTCCTTATTAGAACGGTCTATTAATTAATATTTTAAATTACAAGGACATATTAATCTTTTTCATACACTTTTAATTATACATGATATTATAAGTATCATATTGATCAATACCTTAAAATATAGATCAAAAATTAAATTTTACTTGTGGTAAGAATAATCTCTTAAAGTGAAAATTTTTTTAAAACAAATATCTAATTTTTATGTGTCAACTGACTGTGATTTACATTCTCTAGATGTTCTGCTGAGCCGAAACGTAAGATCCTTAGAAAATAGGATAATGTTATAATAATAATAATAATAATAATAATAATGCTAATAAAAAAACCTCAAAAGAAGAAAACAAAAACAAAAAAAAAAAAAAAAAAAAAAGTGAGAAGAAAGTAAACTCGGAAAACGACAAAGATGAGGCAAATTGCGTTCGGGCTTCGGGGAAATTAAGGGAATCCGGGTCGGTCAATCGGGTCGAGCTTCAGCAACAGATCGCAATATAGCGTGCTTTTGACTTCATCACTGCTAGAGAAGAAGGGAAAGAAACGGAAGAGAAATTCTGAGCGAAGAATAATTGCTTAGATTTTTTTTCTTTTTTCTTTTTTGGAGTTTGTGGCAACGTGAATCTAAATCTCTGCAACGTTTTCGGAGCAGCGAAGATGTCGAAAACATCGTCATCAACCGCATCAAAGCTGATCATCAGAAACCTCTATCACTACATTTCATCAGCCCAGAATGCCGCTTCGAGTGGAGGAGCATCGCATTTCTTCACTCGCAATCCAGGAATTCCCCAAACCCCAATCCCATCGCCATGGCTGTCGCAGAGAACTCATTTTTCATCATCCCCATTTCCGAAGCATCTCCAAAGCCCTACCCGGAAGCTTAACCCAGACGGTAAATTGGCTATTGATTTCTTGTCCAGGAGGAATTTGTTAGGGTTTAGGTGGTTTTCGATGAAGGGTTCCGAGCTGGGTGCGAAGATGAGTGGCGTGCTTGGGAGGAATGGGGTGAAAATTCCGGTGGGAGCTTTGAAGAATACGGTTTCGCGGTACAAGGAAGCTGTGGGTTTACAGATTGAGGCATTCTGGAAGAGGAATTCTTTAGTGTTGTATGGTGCAGTTGGGGTTATGGTTTGCATTTTGCTTTGGAAGCTTTTGTTTGGGATTGCCAACACATTCATTGGTCTTTCTGAAGGCATGGCTAAGTATGGCTTCCTTGCTCTTTCCACTGCCATTGTCGCATTTGCTGTGAGTGCTTCTTCATAAGTTGCTCTAGTTCTTGTTAGCTATTACTGCAGTTGATTTATCACGTCTATTGTGTAATTTGGTTTGTGATTGAGCATATCTGGTTGAATTTGCTACTGTTTTGCCTTAATGTGAACACTCTCAGTCTCTTGCTACCATTTGAATCGATTGTTCACTGTGAACTCAAAAACACAAATTGTACATAAAAATTGGTTCTTTCGTAGTAGGTAATAGCTGGAATGATAATATTTGTTGTAATGTTAAGGACCAATTGGATTAGACCACAAATATGGTATGAGAAAAGTAATGGGTAGGTGTGTGTTGATGATTAATAGTGAAACTTTTGGATGCTTTAGATGTTTGCATTCAACGTGTTTTAGCATTTTCTTATTTCAAGTTGATAACATGATATTCAAGTGCACTTCAGCTTGAGATGAATTGAAAACTAAATTAGCTCTCTCCCTGCAATGTAATGAAGATCAGTGCTTAGTGGAATGGATCCATTGACTACTATACCAAAAGTACCAACTTCATTAATAACTCACACTCTGTTTGTGCTTCAGTAGGTTGAGAAAGTATGTATGGACAGATACTACATTGTAATAGAGTCAATAGCATTAAAAAAAAAAAAACATTTTATGTTGATATCTCTTTCTTGGGGGTGCCTTGGGGCGGGGTTTGTATGAATATGGCAATTTTTGCTTGCTTTGCTAAATAATGATATTCTCATTCCTTCTTTGTTTTTCTATGATAAGGGCTTGTATGTACGAACACGATTCACGATCAATCCAGATAAAGTTTATAGAATGGCCATGAGAAGACTCAATACGTCAGCTGGAATTCTTGAGGTTATGGGTGCTCCTTTGTCAGGGACAGACCTGAGAGCATATGTGATGTCAGGGGGTGGTGTTACACTGAAGAACTTCAAGCCGCGGTTTAGAAGTAAAAGATGTTTTCTAATTTTTCCTATACGGGGCTCTGAGAGGAAAGGCTTAGTAAGCGTTGAAGTCAAAAACAAGAAAGGCCAGGTTTTCTTCTATCTTCAAAGATTTTAGATTACACTGTATGCTTCACATATCCCAAAAAAAAAAAAAAAAATCTATGACAATAAGAAATAGTATTATTCATTTAATATTTTGGTTCCTTCTGTTCTTATATGGTATTTGCTGCCCGTGTTTTCTGCAGTATGATATGAAGCTATTGGCTGTAGACATACCAATGGTTAGCGGACCTGACCAGCGCCTTTATCTGATTGGCGATGAAGAAGAATACAGGGTAGGTGGTGGTCTGATTTCTGAACTAAGAGATCCCGTTGTTAAAGCAATGGCAGCGAGCAAGGAGTTTGAAGATCTTGATCAGTTGGAGGATGAAGAGGACGAGGAAAGGAAACGGCAAGAAGCTGAAAGAAGGCATCGAGAAGAAATTGAAAAAATAGAAAAAAGAGATTCATGATGGATTGCATATTGTGTTCCCGACACTTTGTTTCACAAGGAGATCTATCTCTATAACATGAGCATAGGCCATGAAAGTCCAAAAACATTGACATAAAAAGTATTTCTGGTTATTACCTTTTTCTTTCTTGACCTTTTGAAGGCGATATTACCTTTCTGCATGCAAGATTGCAAGTGCTATGCCAATATGGAACAATAGGCCTGTGCTCCCAAGAGTTCTTTCTGGCCCTGTTTGGTATCATAGTTAGCTTATCAGTCAATTTTGGCTTATTTAACCACTATTAGTTGTTTGACTCGATTAAACAATTAATATGAATGTTTGATTAATAAGCTTTTTGTAACAGCTTATTGTTTCAAAATGTTAAAATTCAAAAAGATGTTCAAATTAACTTTTTTATAAAGTCATTTTTACATATAATCAGTTATAAGCTAATAATTAATTTATCAAACACTTTTTACAATATCAACTAGTCATTATGTTGATTAACGGGATGATAAAGTTGTGTTGTCTCGATTATATATATGAGTATATATATAAAAGGCTAGTTTTCTTAGCTTGACAAAGTCTTTTGTTTAAAGAATATTTTGAGATAATGTAATATTTTTTTTAGAATCTCACTTGCATTTTGTAGGGTGAATGTGATTCCCGTGAAAAATATTATAAAATAAACTAAAAACAAAGTTTGAGAATTTCGCATGATTTGCAATAATCTTACATTCCTTTGAATCAAATGTGAGGATTTGATATTACCAGATTCACATTCCTTCCTAAAGTTATGTGAAATAATCTGTAGTTTGAACCAGACACCCGCTTAAGGTTTTTGTTTAAACATATATTATAATAATAATCTGTAGTTTGAACCAGACACCCGCTTAAGGTTTTTGTTTAAACATATATTATAATAATAATCTGTAGTTTGAACCAGACACCCGCTTAAGGTTTTTGTTTAAACATATATTATAATAATAAGCTAACATATCAGTGTTTCTATTCAACATTTAATTCACTGCAAGACTTTAAAAATTGTTTTACTTCCCCACATACATGACATGATACCAATTCAAAGGAACAAAAAAGAAGATAATGATTACAGTAACTAAGTAAACTAACAAAACAGACATTTTCCCTGCAAGGGCAACTGCACAAGAAACTGGAAACAAGAAAGGAAAATTCATCACATCTCAATACTCACAGGCTTTGAAACTCCCAGATCCTCTTCCAAGTTGGAGGTTTGAAATGGTGCTGAGTTATTTTAGTTCCAGTTCTTCAAGATTATTAAGTTCTTCATTGTTAGGCAACTATACCTTGTATCCTCCAATGAATTAATGAATCACCCTATGCTTCGCGGATAGGTAGTGAAGTTCACTAAAAAGACGAAGAAGACAGAATGGAGGGAGTGAACACCAGCTTAGATATAGTCTGCTATGCACCTGAAATTGCCTTGTATCCTTCTTTCTCTAGAAGTTTAGCTATGGATATATCCCCTGTCTTCACGATTCTACCATCCTCCTGAGACAGGAAAAGCAGTGTTAAAAGAGAAGAAACTGAGCAAATAATGTGTTACAGCTTAGAAAAACTCGAATTTCTCTTCTGTTTCTCCACCCCTAGAAAAAAGAGTTATTATTTACCATGATGTGGATAAAGTTTGGCTTAATAAACTCCAAGAGTCGTAGATAATGAGTAATCATCAAAACAGATTTTGTGGGGGATAATAGCCCATTCACTGCTTTTGCCACATCTCGAAGTGCATCAACATCTAAGCCCGAATCAATTTCATCTAACATAGCCAACTCAGCTCCGAGGACCTGCAACCAAACAGTGTTTAGAATACCTTTGTATTCATGACATTGTTGAGTGCCACACAATTGTTATAGGTGCTTAGAAAGGTTATTATTATTTGGATATAAACCCAAGCAGAAATCAACTAAGAATAAAAACACAACAGAGTTCATTGATGCCTTTATTTCATTTTTGCATTTAAAGCATAGGGATGCAAAACAATGGTAATACCGCTAGTTGTAAAATCTCATTTCGCTTCTTTTCTCCACCACTGAACCCTTCGTTCACATTTCTGTTCAAGAAGTCTACCTTCATGTTCACAAGTTCAAGTTTTGGGGCGATGTATCCATAAAACTGCACATTCAAGCGAATGAGTTTCAAGTTTAGAAAATAAGACCAGACGAACTCATAAATCATAATGAAATATACACCCAAAGAACAATGTATTAATTCACAAGGGAATCACTTTGCTAGTCATCTCTACATACCTCAATTGGTCCAAGTTCTGGCTGTCCAAGTTTCCTTCTCTTAGCATTATATGCCATGTTCAGGAAATCAATATTGCTCACACCAGGAATCTCAACTGGGGACTGGAAGCTCAAGAAAAGCCCAGCGAGAGACCTTTCCTCCGGTTCCATCTCAAGCAAATTCTCGCCTTTAAATGTCACACTGCCTCCTGTAATTTCATAATCGGGATGCCCAACGAGGACCTAAACCAACTGAGTTAATACAAGGGCTTTGGTAAAAACTGCATACTCATTCAGCTAGTAAAGTTCCAATTTCCATGCAAACCAGGACAAATTGGGAGAACATTATCTATAGATTCTATACAACTATATTTATAATAGAAGCTTAGAATAAAAAAACAAAATTGAATTGAACCAAAGATTAACATATGAAGAAGACCCAAAAAAGAGAAGCAGGAGAAACAAGCACTGACCTTTGCAAATGTGCTCTTTCCAGAACCATTCTTCCCCATTACAGCATGTACCTAAGTGATAAACCCCAATACAGCAACATTAGAACTAAAACATCCCTAAATAGCACCAAGACAATCTTTCTAGCTTGTAAAGTTATAACCTTTAAACTGAAAATTGTATACAATTTCCGCTTCCTTTGCTTTTCTATATCAAACTGAACAAAATTATGCTAATTTCAATACTGAAAGACAGGTGAAAGAGAGTACCTCTCCCTCGCGAACCGTGAGGTTAACCCCTTTGAGAATCGGCTGTTTAGACTCGGAGATGACGGCGGAGAGGTCTTTGACTTCGAGCAACAGATTCGAGTAGCCATCGTCGCGGTCGGCGGAGGAATACGCAGGAGATTCGACGGCGACGGTGGATTTAACTACCAGGAAGCGCCGGCGAGCTGGGGGTAAACGACAGCGTTGAGGACGGATAGCAGATACGGTAAATAACCGCGAATGTGAGGTGGAGAATTTGAGAGAAGAAAGCTGGTGAGTAACGAGAGCCATGGCGAAGTGGAAAACCGAATTACCTACCGGATCGGCGACAAGTGGACGAAGAAGAAGAAGAAGGAGAAGAAACCGAAGGGCCGACAATCTCAATCGAAGCCCAACAGCTCAATAGTTTAGTGCTAGCCCAGATACTGGGCTTAAATACAAATGAGAGCAAAAAAAAGGCCCAAATTGTTGCTCCGCAAGCATGATCCACACAAGTTGTATGGACCATAATTTGTATATTGTAAAATAATGTACATTTAGTACACAAATAATATACGTTTAGTACAAAAATAATGTACATTACAAGCCTGCACAGACAGCTCTATTAATTTCTGAGTGGTAGATTGCAGTCATTGAAACTTAGTTCTATGTAGATAATCAAAATATAATCTTGATTACTTTTGAGGTTTTAGTGTTCTTGCTTAGTATAACACTTTGGAATTGAAATTGAAATTCATTCCTTTGTCTTAATAAAATATGTAAAGGGGAATTGTACTAGCGTATATATATGGGTGGAAAAAATTCAATCGTACTGTGCATCAGGGCGCACATTACGCTTCCCAAAACGATGTCATTTTCAGTTAATTTCAAGTATAAAATTATGTACATTCTATTATATAATTATATACATTCGAAACATGAGAATTTTCAGTTATAAAACTCTGTGTTTCCAGGTATAAAATTTTGTGAATTCTATTATATATATATATATATATATATATATATATATATATATATATATATATATGTGATATTTAGAAATTAATGATTAATGATATACGGAGTATATAAATAGTTATATCTGCATATCCTTTTTAGCAGATCATCTGTTGAAAAGCTTTGAGGAAGAAATACCCCAAAGCTTTTCGATTCCTCACTCATTTACCCCACGTCATACGCCAGTCCTCTCTCATCTTCATCATATCATATTCTCGCCGGAATATGTCTGTAGATCTAGACCTCCGGCGAGACCTTGAAGAAACCCAACTGCCAAGACTCAAGATTAGCCCCCCAGATGTCAATGGCTATACTGAAACCCACGAAATTCAGGGCTCTACAAGTAGGGTAGATCAAGAAGAGGAAGAAGAAGGAAGAAGAGTGCCGGACGCCGAGATCTCCCCGGAATTCCATACCGGCGGCGCTGGAATGCCCGCCGGCGCCCAGGAAGCCGCGGAGGCGGGAGCTGAAGTTTTTTGAGATGGTGGCCGGAGAGGACTTCAGTGCAAACGCCGGCAGGAATATCAGAAGGTGCCTTGTGTAAATAACCAAGGTAAAAAAAGAAAATTCCACGTCGCCAGAACATATAATTCGTGTCGTTGATATTGGTGTGTAGGGAGAAAGATTATGGAGATCTAACGATACCAGATGAGAGGGATGATTCAAAATGTATATTGAATATATGATATGAAAGTACAATAATATAAAAAAACGTAACTACTATACATATCTAACATAACTTACTCCTACATTAATAGGTGATTAGCTATAATCACTATTTTCAAAAAAAAAAAAAGAAGAAGAAGAAGCTATAATCACTCTAATCACTACCATATATATTTACTAGCCATATAGATCTAATATATTGCAATTAAACAGTAATAAATAGTTTTCAAAAAAAAAAAAAAAAAACTAACAAATAACAATTAAACACTAAGAAATAAACAACAATTAAGATGGAAAGTTTTATCATAAAACTATATATTTTTTTTTGGTGGAATAAGACTCGTACCCTATCAGGGCGTTTGGTTGGAGGGGTGGAATTATGTGGGAAAGGAATTGTAATTCCATGGGAGTTGAATTACTGGGAATAAAGTGGCAATTTAAATTCCAGTGTTTGGTTGACAGGAATAAAATTACTGAGAATTTCAATTCCAATGTTTGGTATACATAGGAATTGAAAGGGAACAAGTAGTATAAAGTCAAAAATGTCCATTATTGTTGTTAGACATTAATTTTAGGTTAAAAAAGGAAGGGGTAATTTTGACTCATCACCATCTTTTTTTCTCAGGAATTAAAATACCAAGGGGGGACATGGGATTTTAATTCCATGAAAATGGGGGAATTGCAATTCCATGGAATTGCAATTCCCTCCAATCAAACTGCGGAATTTAATGACCTTTGGAATTAAGTGGGAAGGAAATTTAAAATCCCTCCAACCAAACGCCCCATAGGAAAAGAGGAATACAACTACCAAACTCTCACGAAACTTGTCCCAAAGGAATTAAGCTTAGCGGTGGACCATCAAGCCATGTTGTCCTCCAAGCCGCCGTTTACCCCAGGTTCGCCAGATGGTCAGCACATTTATTTCCCTTGAATACATTTACTAATGAGATTTAAATACATGTTATGAATAAATTAAAATTAATTTATTTTAATAATAAATACATAATATTATTCTACAATTAAATTACTAATCATTATTCGTTTTAAAGTAAATAATTATTATTATTAGAGGATATATCGAAGTTGAATTATTTATTTTTATTACCAAAGACCTTGTGGTCTACTGGACCGATTGTTCTCTTACGTGGAAAGTGATAACTTCAAACCTCATTTGAGGCAAGTAGTGTGTATATGTAGGGTATATCCCCTTTCATATAATAAAGAGAATTATTTATTTTTATTGTTTTTACCAAAATAACTAAATAATTATTAGAGGGTAGAAGTTTTATAGAACATTCCAGTAAAAAAATATATGCATATATACTCCAATTCAAAGAACAATTCTTGGAGTAAATGGGAGAGAATTGAGGGGAGTGAATTGAGTAAATTGAGTAAATGGGAGAGGATTGAGGGTAATATACCTGTATATATACATACAGAGGGACTGCATGTAACAATCCACCCTCTTACTTTTCATTTTCCTACCACCTTGCAGCACCTCTTTAGTAACTTCTTTTGTTAATGGTGATTTCCAAGCTTGCAAACTATAATCTTTTTGCCCAAGATTTGATTGTTCTGCTGCCCTTTGTAAGCCTCTGATCTCTCTCTCTCTCTCAATATCTTGTTTTGTTTGGAATTGGTTGTCAATGGCTGGGATTTTCCTTGCTTTTTATTTCCTTAAATTTTGGTGTTTTTTTAAAAGGTGGCCTGGGCGGAGAGCTAGAGTGATAGACATTAGCAGCATAAAATTAGGCAATGATGTTTTGTTTTTCTTGGTTATTATATGATTAAGAAAAAAAGAGCAACCTGGGAAATTTCTAAAATGTCTCATATATTGAAAATTTGAAAAAAAAAATACGAATTTCTCTTATTTGTTTCATGTAATTTATTGAGAGCTAATCTTGAGTCTTGGTAGTTGGGTTTCTTGAATGTCTTGCCGGAGGTCTAGATTTGTAAACATATTCCGGCGAGGATATGATTTAATGAAGATGAGAGAGGACGGAGAAAAAATCTAGGGGTGGAGACAGGAGACTAGAAAGATGGTAAAAGCTAGGAATTTGGACTGACGTTTATATATATGGGTGGAAAAAATTATCGAAATAATTGTTTTATATATCTTCTTAATTTTTTTCACCCATATATATATATACATATATATATATATATGTATATATATATATATATATATATATATATATATATATATATATGCCACTCCAAATCCCCTTTTACCATATCTCTAGTCTCCTGTCTCCACCCCTTAAGCTTTTTTCTCCGTCCTCTTTCATCTTCATCATATATCATATCCTCGCCGTAATATGTCTGCTGATCTAGACCTTCAAGAAACTCAACTGCCAAACTCAAGATTAGCCCCCCAGATGTCAATGGCTCTACTGAAACCCACGGAATTCAAGGCTCTACAAGTAAGATAGATCAAGAAGAGGAGGAAGAAGAAGAGTGTCGGACGCCGAGATCGCCCTGTAATTCCATACCGACATCCCTGTTATGCCCGCTGGCGCCCAAGAAGCCGCGGCAGTAGGCGCCGGCGTGCAAGCAGAAGCTGAGCAAGGTGAAGTTTTTTGAGAGGGTGGCCGGAGAGGAGATTGAATTGTTCAGGGCAGGAATATTAGAAGGTGCCAAATAATGAAACTTCAAATTATTAAAGATTTCTTTGTAAAGTACATTTTGAGATATACATGTTTAGAAATTAACTTATAGATTTATAAGTTTGATGCAACTAGTCCGTGCTAACTTATAGATCTAACATATTGCAATTAAACACTAAAAAATAGTTTTCAAAAAAAAAAAAAAAAAAAAAAAACCACTAACAAATAACAATTAAACACTAAGAAATAAACACAACAATAATTGAGATGGAAAGTTTTATCATAAAACTATAATTTTTTTTTGGTGGAATAACACTCATACCTTATAGGAAAAGATGAATAAAACTACCAAACTCTCACGGAACTTGCCCCAAAGGAATTAAGCTTAGCGGCGGAGCATCGAGCCACTTTGTCCCCCAAGTCGGCATTTGCCCCAAGTTTGCTAGATGGTCAGCACATTTATTTCACTCGAATATAAACAACAAATCTACACAAAATATAAACCATATATATCTAAATACATTTTAAATATTACTCTAACAATGTATATACATGTACCATACGTGTTGGAAGAATAAAAAAGCAACTATATATGTACTTTGGTGGTATGTACTGAGTATTTTGATTTTCTTCTATACAACTTAATTATGGTTTTGAATGAACTATTGCATGAAATACCCATGAAGAAGAAGAAGAAGAAGAAAAACAATGGGCCGACAATCTCAATCGAGCCCAATAGTTCAATGCTATCCCAGATATTGGGCTTATAAATACAAATAAGAACAAAAGAAGGCCCAAATTGTTGCTCATGGGCTAAGCTACGGCAAATTATGCTGTGCATCCGTATGCACCAAGCATGGTGCATACGGATGCAAAAACGACGTCGTTTTTATAAAACGCGCGTCTCCCCTTAAAAAAAAAAAAAAGTTCGAAACTATAATTCCATAATCGATGAACTATAATTCCATAATCGATGAACTATAATTTCATAATTGATGAACTATAATTCCATAATCTAATCTATGAACTAAAATTTTCAGAATGAATGAACTAAAATTCTAGAATCTATGAACTCAAATTTCAGAATCGATGAACTATAATTTCAGAATCGATGAACTATAGTTCCATAATCGATGAACTATAATTCCATAATCCATGAACTAAAATTCCATAATGAATGAACAAAATAATGTTGTTACTAGGAATCGAACCTGAATTTTTTTTTTTAAAGGGTAACTATTCCTAAGCTACTCTAACATGATTCTTTGTTTGTGTGTGTGTGTGTGTTTTTTTTTTTTTTTTTTTTTTTTTTTTTTTTTTTTTTTTTTTTTATGAAAAGGGAAACCGACCATCACTACTGAATAGGGTGGTATTGGGTAAACCCTATTCATGTGTAAAATATTTTCATAAATAACACATGAGAAATAAATTACACTATGAATATTATGTATTTGATAGGCTCGATCGAAAGGGTGCTGACAAGAACTTAGTACGTGAATCATACTCACCTAGTTAACCACCCTTTCCAAGGCACAACTAAGAGGACGGAGCATGATTTTTGTATTTTGATGATTTTGATCAACACTCTCTTGATTGAGCATGTCACACATATATGGTACGATTTTCCTAATACAATTTATCTCCTTCGTAGTTTGCGGACTATTACACGATCTATCATAACATGCAATTTTTTTTTTTTTTTTGTTTTTTCATCAATAAGCGTGTTTAATAAACTATTTTTGACCTACATAATATAATGTAACTTAGGGTTTCCTCCTAGCTAGCTATTATGATAGAAATTAAATATGTAAATCTAGTTTAATTTGATGTGCATTTACATCAAAACCTAATAATGTAATAAGCTATGATTATAATTGGATCCCACCATGTGAGTTGATGATTTGCATTGAAATATAATAGGTGTGGGCTTTAATTTTTGACCTAATGCATGGGGAGCCAGGAGTGACAAGTCAATAAAGCACAAATTGAATCATTCATATCCTAAACTTGCATATATGCTTTTAATGCATTTTAAGCAAAGTTAAAAGATCTGTTTTATGACTCTATCAAAGTTTGGTTCATGAAATATATATATATATATATATATATATATATATATATATATATATATATATATATATAAATATAAATATAAATAGAGTAATTTGTTCATAAATATGTTCATTCTATCACTTGTAATGTAAAAATAAAAATAAAAATTATAAGAATATTAATCTAGGCTTATTGGTTTTATTATCGATTTAAGACAGTTAGTTATGGACAACTTAGACTGATTTGTCTACTTGTGCTATATATTTTGTTAGTTCAAGCCTCAGTGGAGGTGTTATTAGCTCTTTGTGTTTCAGTAGGTTGAGAAAGTATATGAACAGATACTACAATGTAATAGAGCTAATAGCATTCAAAAAAAAAAAAAATTGAACTCGATAAGAATTTTAATTGAATCCAATTGTTAAATCTAACGGCTCAATGTTTTAGGGTTACGGTAATAAATTTAGCTTAATAAAAAACCGTTCTAATTAACTCAAAATCGATAAGCCCAAGATGACCATAGCAAGTTAGCTCGAAAGTGTATAGGTTAAGTTAGCCTAATTAAGATCCATATGAATAAGGTATTAGCTAATTATTTTATGTTTTGGAAAATAAAATTCAAATCATCAAATGGGATAATGATTTCATGGATGAAAAGGAGGGGCAAAACAACAGTACCATGTTTGATGATAATTATTTGGTATTGCTGCAAATGCTGAAAAGAAGTTTCATGAACTGTCATTGAAAAAAAAAAGTAATAATAATTATAATTTTATATTTTGACATAAATTATCAAAAAAGAAATAAAAAATTGATAGATAATTATCACTATATATAATGCTTAAAATTTTAAATTTTATTAAACACTTGCATATAAAATTTTAGATACAAGTTATTATATATTAAAATTTAACCAATTATTCCTAATTCAGAAGATTTTTAATTTATCTTTCATGTCATGATGACTTAGTGAATGGGGTTACTTACACGAGACCTGTTTCAATGCGGTTTATAAGTTCTCCAAATATTTATCCACTGATATCCATCACACTAAATTATCGACTTATTTTGAAGTAATCAATTAATAAGTAAAAATTTAACTATAATTAATGTTATATCGGGCCGAAACGTGAGGGGCCCTTGGAGTGGTAACAATACAATGTATCCATTTTCCTTGTTGACGGCATAACACGACAATGTCTGAGGATGTACAATCCATTTCCTTGTTGGTTAGCACCTAATCCGATTAGGTAACTCAAAAGACAAAAAAACGCAGTAAATGCGAATCCGCCCCAAAAAACAAATCCAACGTTAACCTTCATTAATGAACCCGGACAACGATCTTAAAAACCAACGAAAATGGCCGTTACAACAAACGCAGTTACCCTCTCTCTCTCTCACACTACCCTGCAACTCCATCATCTTCTTCACTGCGATATCAGTTCATTCTTCTTGCAGTATTTTCGTGGGGGGCCACCAAGACTCATTCTTTTGATCTTTTCTGCGACCAATCAATCATCTATTTCGACCTTAAATTTTGTTCTGCGTGTCAAATCTAAGTAGAAAACAACAAAAATTAGGCCTGTCTTGCTTGCTGGTTACATAAATGTCGTTTTAAAAAGCCATCAATGTCGGAGCCGACATAGCCGCTGAATAATTGAAACCCAGAAAGCTGAAATTTGCACTGGTTCGCTATGGACTATTATGGGTGTTGGGTTCTCACGGGTTTGATAGGTAAATTCCCATAAATGGCACCTCAAGAAAACAACAGCATTTGGTAGAGAGTGCCGTTATGCTCTAACAGCTATTTTTGAAAATATTTCCGTATTCTTTGCTTCTGTTCCGGTCTTAACAACACCTCATTTGTTATATACGTTTTTCAGTTTCGTTTCTGCACACTCATCACTCATCAGATCAGATAGATAGATAAATACATATATACAGAGGGACTGTAACAATCCACCATCTCACTTTTTCATTTTTCCTACCACCTTGCAGCACCTCTTTAGTATCTTCTCTTGTTAATGGTGATTTCCAAGCTTGCAAACTATAATCTTTTTGCCCAAGATTTGATTTTTCTGCTGCCCTTTGTAAGCCTCTCTCTCTCTCTCTCTCTCTCTCTCAATATCTAGTTTTGTTTGGACTTGGTTGTCAATGGGTGGGATTTTCCTTAAATTTTGGTGATTTTTTTAAGGTGGTCTGGCTGGATGAGCTAGAGTGGTAGACATTAGCAGCATAAAATTAGGCATGATGTTTTGTTTTTCTTGGTCATATGATTATGAAAAAAGGAGCAACCTGGCGAAATTGGTCACACGTTGGCTTGGTAACAAGAAGGTTCCAATTTCGACTCTCTCTGAAAGAAACCCCCCCCCAAAAAAAAAAGAGGAGTTTTACTGGTGTTTAGTGTGTAGAATTGGAGACACCTGTGCTAATTTGTCCAACTTTTTTTCATAGAATTCTATCCTAATCAATGGACAAAGGAACAATTCAACTTTTGCTTTTGCTTTTTCTATGACTTTCTTTTCTTCTCTTTTCTGGTCTGGATTCTTTATAATGAACTTTTGCTTTTTCCCCTGTATGAATCACCTTCTTTTTCTGCCTCTTACTGTGCACACCTTCTTCTTCAAGATTTGATAATGCCCTGAAACTTTTAATGTGCTGGAAAAAAGAAGTTGCACTATCATTTTATATAGCAAAATATCATTTAGAAATCCTGCTTTTCCACCTTTAAAAAGCCATTGAAGAACACAGTTGCATTTTAGCTTTCTCTGCTTAATTAATTCAGTAAACCTTCAACTTTTGGTGGCCATGAAACAATGTAGTTTCAATTATTTGGCTCTCAACTTTCTATATTTTATAAGGGTGGAGGGATAAGTGGGCATATGTTTCATGGCTGTTCCTCACTTCCTTGGTGATTGCTTAAAGTCAATGCTTTCTTGCCTTGTGAAGTGTGATAATACCATTAATGGATTGAATACTGGAAAATGTCTCAGATCTCAATGAACAATACTATATTTAAGACTCTTGGAAAGTTAAAATTTAGAGCTTTTTTCTATAAACCAAATGGTAGCAATAGTATTAAACATTACAAGCCCGCACTGGCAGCTCTATTGGTTTCTGGGTGGTAGATTGCAGTCATTGAAACTTGGTTCTAGATAGTCAAAATATAGTCTTGATTACTTTTGAGGTTTTAGTGTTCTTGCTTTAAGTATAACACTTTGGAATTGAAATTGAATTTCATTCCTTTGTCTTAATAAAATATGTAAAGTTAGAAAAGAACGACTTTTTTGGCAAAAGAACTATAGGCCTTAATTATTGCATAAATATTCTCACTGCACTCTTCCAGCATGTTGTGGCTCCAGTTTCAATCATTCTGCAAGATGGCTCCTGCATCCTAGTCTGTTGAGCTTAGTTCTGAGTTATCAATCTGAGGTTTATGTCTGCGATGTCTTGTTATAAAACGCCTTTTGGAACAGACAATTTGAATTTCAGATTGGTTTATGTTATTTCTTTTGTCTATGTTGTCTATTGCCTGACACATTATGCGATTCTTAATGCTTCTATTCAAGCTGATTACCTGTTTCATGTTCTTGGTCTGTCAAACAGGGTGGTTCCTCCTAGAAGAAGAATCAGATTGTCGTCTGTTTGGTGAAATTTTTGACTGATTCAGGAGAGTGGCACACTTTTGCGGGGATAAAAAACACAATGAGACTTAAATTCTTATCAGCAGTTCTTGCTTTTGTTGTCTTCCTGCTATCGATTCTTCCTGGGATTTTTGCTGATCTTGAATCTGATAGACAGGCCTTACTAGAGTTTGCTGCATCTGTACCTCATGTCCGGAAGCTCAACTGGAATTCTACTCGCCCGATCTGCAGTTCTTGGGCTGGGATCAAATGCGGTGAAAATGGAAGGAGGGTGATAGGAATTCATCTCCCGGGTGTCGGTTTCTTTGGCCCTATCCCAGCCAAAAGTATAGGGAAGATGGATGCTCTTAGGGTTCTTAGCCTAAGAAGCAACCATTTCAATGGAACTCTACCTTCTGATATCTTTGCCATTCCTTCTCTTCAATCTATCTACCTTCAAGATAACAACTTTACTGGTGAAATTCCTGGTTCCCTCTCGCCTCTGCTTGGTGTAATAGATCTATCCGGTAATGCTTTTACTGGAGAAATTCCAGCCGGGATCAAGAATTTGACGCGTTTATCAGTGCTGAAGCTACAATATAATTCGTTATCTGGAACTGTCCCTGATCTTGAAACTTCAAGGCTAAAGGTTTTGAATTTGAGCTATAACATGCTGAATGGCTCGATCCCGAATTCCCTCCATAAGTTTCCAGTTTCTTCGTTTGTGGGTAATTCTCATCTTTGCGGGAAACCTCTGAGTGAATGCTCCACGATTTCTCCATCACCATCATCGTCTCCTGCATTTTCCAAGAAGAAACTCAGTGCTGGAACTGTCATTGCTATTGCCATAGGGGCTTCCTTGTTGCTGGCTTTCCTGGCACTGCTAATCTGCTTCTGCTGTTTCAAGAAGAAAGTCTCGGATGGCGGTGAAGTTAAGGAGAAGGTTGCTAACGGGGGAAGGAGCGAGAAGCCTGAGGATTTTGGAAGCGGGGTTCAAGATTCTGAGAAGAACAAGCTGGTGTTCTTTGAAGGGTGCTCGTACGGCTTTGATCTCGAGGATCTGCTAAGGGCTTCTGCTGAAGTTCTTGGGAAAGGGAGCTATGGAACTGCATACAAGGCCGCCTTGGATGAGATGGCAATGGTGGTGGTGAAACGCCTGAGAGAAGTCGGAGCAGGAAAACGAGAGTTTGAACAACACATGGAGCTTATGGGAAGAATCGCTCGACACCCAAACATAGTGCCACTAAGAGCTTATTACTATTCCAAGGATGAGAAGCTTCTTGTTTATGAATACATGCCTGTTGGCAGCTTATTTGAAGCCCTCCATGGTAATATTTTACATTTATCAGCTTATCAAAACGCTAATTTTACCAAACACTTTTAAGCATAATCAGCTAGTTAACAGCTCTTCAGTTTTCAGCTTATACCTTATACCTTTTCAGCTAGGTTTGCCAGACATAGCCGAAACATCCTTAAACTGGCAATGTCTCTTCTGTTTTCATTCTTGTGTGATCTTACTATAACAGGCAACAGAGGCGTTGATCGAAGCCCGCTAGACTGGGATTCGAGATTGAAGATCTCGATAGGAGCAGCAAAGGGAATAGCGCATATCCACTCTGAAGGTGGCATTAGATTTACTCATGGCAATATAAAATCCTCGAATGTACTTCTTACAACGAGCCTCGAAGGTTGTGTTTCCGACTTTGGCTTGAGCCCTCTGATGAACTACATCGCGATCAAATACAGGGGTGCGGGCTACCGGGCTCCTGAAGTGATTGAAACACGAAAAGTCACACAGAAGTCCGATGTGTACAGCTTCGGGGTGCTGCTCCTCGAGATGCTCACTGGCAAATCCCCTCTGCCAACGGGGCATGACGATGTCGTTGATTTGCCTAGGTGGGTCCGGTCCGTGGTCCGGGAGGAGTGGACAGCTGAGGTTTTCGACGTAGAGCTGATAAAGTACCAGAACATAGAAGAAGAGATGGTGCAGATGCTTCAAATCGCTCTTTCGTGTGTGGCTAAAGTGCAGGATGCTCGGCCTTCCATGGAAGAAGTGGTTAGGATGATCGAGGATATCCGGCAGCCCGATGAAGACACCCGACCCTCATCCGAGGACAGGTCTCGAGACTCGAACGAACGCACCCCAGAGTGCAACTATCCATAACTATAGTAGGGGATGCAAATTACTTAATTGCCTGTAATTCTTGATCAAGCAGAAACATGAATGCTAATGCTAAAAATATACTTTTTTTTATATCCATAAAAAACATTTCTTGTTACATTAAAGCAGAGAATCATGATAAGTGAAATCCCTGAAGGGGTTTTCACCACCAGAATTTGGACTAGCAGCAGGAGAATCCACCAACAGAGCCATGCTCGTCCACCGCTCATCGAAATTCGCAGTGCAGCGTTTCCCCGCAACCTCGGGGCGAAAACTTGGCTGGATTTCTCGCGCTTCCAGCTTCTTCCAGTTGATCGACCCGAACCACTTGTGCCCTTTTATTTCCCCGCCCCCTCCCGCCCCACTCCCAAGGCGCTTGCTCGGGTCCTTCTGCAGCAGCTGCAGAAATAATAACATAATTCCGCCCGGTTTGCTAGCAGAGATCCAAAACTAAAGAATCTGATAGATTAGATTAGATTAGATTAGATAGATAGATACCCCTTTTAGCAGTGAATGTGCTTCCCTTGATAAATATGCTGGGAGTTTGATCTTGTCTTTTACAATCTTCTGCTGAACTTTATGTCTGTTTCCACCATAAAATGGAGACTGCAAGATTTGCAGACAATACTAGCTTATTATAACAGTTGATTTTAGCCATGAAAAAATTGCAGAAATGGTTAATCAAGAAGAACTAAAGACCTTTCCAGTAAGCATCTCAAACAGAAGAACTCCAACACTCCACCAATCAGCAGCCTTGTCGTAGCCCTTCCCGAGAACGATTTCTGGTGCCATATACTCCAATGTTCCACACATCGAGTTGGATCGCGTGGTCTCATCGAACTCCTTTGCCAGGCCAAAATCAGCCAATACAACCTATATCAACACGGAGAGCAGGTAAATCGAAGAACTCTTATAGAAATGGCACAGATTATGATGAACTTAGCAATTAAGGGAAAGAACACAAAGTGGCATACATGTCCTTCTGCATCCAACAGTACATTTTCTGGTTTGAGATCTCTGTGCATTATCCCGTTTTCATGGAGGTAAGAAACTGCGGAAACAATCTCAGCTGTGTATATTAGGGCTAAATCCTCCCTGAGAAGAATATCGAGTGATAATTAACTCACAAAGAAAGAATATAAAGCTTCAAATTTGACATGAACCTAATGGTATTGGTACCTGAATAAGCCTTGATGGTGGAGTTGAAAGAAAAGGTGTCCCCCATTGACAAAGTCCAAAACAAGGTAGAGTCTATATTTTGTCTGCAACAAATGACAAGTGTTAACATCCCGAGCTATTAACTGAAGGATGTGTTCTGTCTCATCTTAAAACGCTATCCAACCATCGAATTTGATGTTTTTAAGGAATCCACTGCTTACTTGGAAGGAATATCTGAGCTGCACGATGAACGGGTGATCTATTTTTGTCAGAATAGCTCTCTCGGCTATCATATACTCAACATGGTTTTTCTTCAAGATCTTGTCTTTCCTCATAACTTTCATTGCAAAGATCTCCGAGGTTTCAATCTTCTGCACCTGAAAGACTTTCCCAAACGCCCCTTCGCCCACAACTTTCAACACTTCAAACTCCTCGAGCCCGACTTGTTTCGATGAAACAACAGATTCATTGGCAACAACATCCTCAGAACAACATTTCTCAACTTTCCCTTCACCCTCTAACACTGGTTTTTTCTCAGACCCCAAGACTATGGCATCTGGTGGTCCAACAGGAAGCAGATGGGCTGAAACCATTTTGTGCTAAAGATTTCCGGTAAAAGAAGCTTCTCCTCAACTCCCCGAAAACCAAATGGATTAAGGAAAACGCCCGAAGATCCAAAGAATTCAGGGAAATTGCAGACCAGATTGCAGAGAATAGAGGTGTTTTCGTTTCCTGCTTCAGAGGAAACGCAGAATGCAGCAGTGCTTCTTGAAATCATGAAGATCAGACAAAAGGGCTGTGGCTCATTGTACATGGAGAGAAACATTAATAACACTGTCAGTTCATCCCCAAATAACAATAAAAGAAGAAAACACAACAGAATCATTAAATAAGTAAATTAAACAGCCAAGAACACTGAGATAACCATTTCAATCACATCAAACCATGCAGACAATCCATAGAATTCACCTTCATAGTTTAAATTGTTGGATGTCTCATATGAACGGGGAGATGATAGGTGTTGGAACAAATGGAGGAGAGTGACCGAAACATGTACCTTACTTAGGATTGCATATAAATATAATACTTATAACCTATGCTCATCCCGTAAATCTTGTCTTATTTACTTTCTGGAACTACAGATCAATTCTTTCACTTTTAACCAAAGCTGAGAATTTCTTCCAAGAAAACGGGAGAGGGATTTTCAACACGAAACAAATCCAATCGCTAAAGCTTCGAGAAAACAGGAACATATAACGACATTATTCATAACTTCCGTTGAAAATTAAAAGGAATAAAAACGAAAGCCATTCATACATGTATATATTAGAAGAAAAGCGTAGAACTTTACCGCGAAGAGGATGAAGGGTGGCGGATCGGAGCGGTGAGGAGAGAAGTTTGGTTTGAGGAAGACAACGGGCGACGGAGGAGGCGTTGCGTGGCCGTTTATAACTGAAAGAACCGCCAATTTAAACTGCTGAGAGAAATCCTGTTACGTGTCGTGTTGGGATTTGATAAGTTGGGGCGGAGTGGACCGGTGTTTTGTCCCCTTTGTAAGGGCAATGTATTGACGGAAACGCCCCTTGGTTCATGAACCGAATAAAAGATGGATAAATCTAGTGTGAAACTGTCTTACGTGTGATGTATAATACTTTTTTATGCGCTCATAAAAAATATTTCTTCGTATATTTTAACTAAAATATACTCCGTATTACACTTCTCACATTGAGGCCATATCACACAAACTTACTCATAAGAGTATATACCAATTTTGGTCACACGAGTATAATTTTATAACAATTTTGACTCACATGTTTATTTTTTATCAATTTTCATATACGACCATTGTTTTAGTACAAATTTTCATCCATGACTATTGTTTGTGTCAAAATTCATCACGCCAGTCACCCCTCCGTTTAAGACATGTCAAAATCTAAAATTTGTAAGGGTATTTTCGTCCTTTTTAACTTAAGATCCCAAATTGAGCATGAATAATGAGATTTAAGTCCTAAAATCGATCTCAATTCACAGTTCACCTCTTCATCCTACCTTAATTTGAGGAGGAGAACTATGAATTGAGATCGATCTTAGTGCTTAAATCATTTTATTCATGTTCAAAATGGAATCTTAATTTGAAAGTGACGAAAATACACTTAATAATTTCATATTTCGACATATCTTAAAGTGGGGGTGACCGGTGTAATGAATTTTGACACTAAAATAATAGTCATGCATGAAAATTGGTAGGAATTAAACATGTGGACCAAAGCTGTCATTTTGTTAATACTCGTGTGATCAAAATTGATATATTTATGATATGCATGCATAGATTTTCATATATTCTTCCCTCTCTTTTTTTTTCTTTCTTTAAAAAAAAAAAAAAAAAAAACTAATTTTAATATATACTGACTTAAAAAAAATAAAAAAATCAACGAGATGGATAAGCCAAGAAAAGTATTTCTCAATAATACTTGTATCTTTTGAGCATTAAGCTCATCAAAAAAAAAAAATTATATATATAACAAATCCACAACTATCGTCTATTCGCTATGAATGTATATTCCCTGATAGCCAGAAGACTAATCTTCCATTTTAACGGAACGAACGTCCAACCTCATACTTAAGAGACAAGATGTTGAATCATCACGCCAACCATGTTGATTATCACTCTATTATTCTTGTAACAAGCTAAGTTTACCCCAAGTCGTCTACGAAGGAATTGAACTTATTATCGGTGATCGATCATCAACCATCGCCTCCAACTCAATTTATAGACGAAGAATATTAATAACATCCATTTGTATACTATATATATATATATATATAACTCTTTGAAAATTAATTTTATTATGCAATAACATCATAATAATTGTTCATCAAAGAATTATAACTGCAAAATTTTAAGTTTGATCACTACGAGAGCTTTCTATTGCCTTATTATTGGTTTCGGCCAGTCAATATATAATTATAGACAACCTAGACGGGTGGCAACAAAAGTCACAAGACATGGTTCAATCTAAACACACACTTAGATAACAACTATAGACTTTTCTGATGATGTTGCTTTAACCAACAAACCAAAGAGTGCAAATGGGGCGGAGAAGAAAGGGCTATGGTCGCTATCCAAAGTGTACACGCTGGCTGGCGGCCACTTGTTGATCATTGCATCTTGCTGCTCCGGCTTAACCACATTGTCGTACCTCGTTCTAATGTAAATCCGAGGAACATGTTCTACACCCTCAGATTCCATGAACTCTGCACTCGCCAACGCTTTGATCGGTCCGGGTCTTAGTAACATTCCCGCCAACGTTGAATCCTACAACGTAACATGTGTCACACACTATAAGTACAATTATAAATTTCGAGATTTAATTTCACTACTCTCATCAAATATTACTACTGAGTCGTATGCAACATAAAATTACCTCGAGTGGACTCATTTGGTACAGAATTTTACGTTGTAATGTTTTAGTGACGAGTATACTGGTCGGAGGCCCATCTTGGCCCATCCCGAAACCGATGTCATACACTTCATTGATTTCTCCAAAATCCGATAAATCCGGAATTCCCTGCATGTTATGTTATGACAAGCTTTAGAACATTAAACTAGAAATTCGATCAAAAATAAAATAAAATAAAATTGTAACTATTATTGACTTCTTGTCAAAAAATAATTAATAATACTAACCATCAAACAAAATCGTTTGGCACACCTTAAGAAGTGGCCCTGGCTAGCCTTAATGAAAGACAGCTGGGCAGCAAATTAACATTTTCTTTAATTTGATTGTTAACACGAGGATTGAGGATAATGACGATTGAGAAGACGCATGTTTGATTACCACAAAAAAAAAAAAAACCAAACCTTTGACTGTGACATCCTACTGAACCAAACCCCACTTATCCATTATTTCTCAACACACACACACCCCCAAAAAAAACAAAAAAATGCCAGAAAAAGTAAGATTTACGTAGATAAAATAAAATTCTTGTACGAGAAGATCATAAATTTAATTTTTGTTTTTTTAATATGATTTACCTATCTTGCCTGGTTTGTAAACTATTATACAGAAAGAAGATTTACTCTATACATATCTTTAAATAGTGATTGCGAATTTTCTTCATAACTTAAAAAAGACCCACAGACACATATTTCCTATGCATACCCAAAACGAGGAAGAAAACAAGTGCTACCAACCCCCCCCCCCCTCCCCCCCTCCCCCAGTTAAAGTTTCCTTCTTTTTTTTTTTTTTTTTTTTTTTTTGTTGGATAAATTAAACATCACATGATAATGGAGGAAACATTGCAGAAGGTACAATATCGACAAAAACTAGACTCACATCTTTGATGTCTTGTTCAGAGGTGAAGCCAGTTTTGAGCATTGTTGCTGCGATGTAGATTGCTAGGCTGATCTTCTGGGGAAACTTGTGAGTCGCATCTGTAACGCTCAGCCCTCCTGCGCTATGCCCTACCAATATCACCTACACATCCAAAAAAAAAAAAAAAAAAAAAAAAACATCACTTATGTTTACATCATGAGTATACATGTACGAGTAGTATATATGTCTCTCTATATGTATAGTTATAGATACGCAAACTCTCGAGCGTTTATATTAAGTGTAACCTTTTGAGTTATATCGGGTACTATATGTACAAAAATTGATAGTTCTTTCAAGTTTGACTGTCGGTGGTAGCTGTATATTGACTTTTTTTTTAGACCGATTAGCTATAAACAACTTAGATCAATTTATTTTATTGTGATTTTTTTCCCGTAATCAAAGTTAATAGTACTTTTGAAACAAAAGTTGTTTTGTTTCAAAAAAAGTTGACAGCACTAAATACATTTCAAAAGCCTTCATAGTTATATAATGTGTAAAAGACAGTGATGTGCTTTTTATGTATGTACTTCTAGCATAAACCCTTTGTATTGCATATGTCGCATCTACATTATGTGATTGTTTGGACATTATTTACAATGATGTATAGTGTGATAATTGTTATAAATATTATTATTATGGCCATTATCATGAAGAGTTATATATATATATATATATATATATATATATATATATATATATATATATACACACTGAAGGCTTAATATAAGGATGATGATGATTGAGTACGTTCTAGAGTTTTACATTTGTGTTCTTCTCTACTCTCTACCTCTTTACATTTCATTATCTATCATACAAATTAAATCTACTGACATATTTACCGTACAAGGATCATAGGAGTATTGGGCCAATCAGAGAGCTGAATTTAAAAATGACACTTGATTTAATTTTTTATTGTGTGCATGTTTGACAATATAAGTCAATCGAATTAAGATGAAAATATGCATGGTTCTTTATGTGGTTGAAAAGGATTAGATTAACAAAACATTATAATCAACGGATGAGGTGGAAAGAGGAGAGATTATGTGAATATGTACTTTTAACATGAACCCTTCATACTTACCGGGATTGTCATCATAATATTTATGAAGTTATATAGTATGATAGTAATTATTGTGACACTTTTCCTTTTTAATTGACACATGTCTGACAACACAACCAAATTTAAATATAGATATAGTTGTTTGTGAATTGAAAATAAAGGATCATATTGGACTAACAAAATAGGATAACGATGAGGTGGAAAGATGAGAGATTGTGTGTATACACACTCTAACATGAACCCTTCATACTTTACGTGATTGTCATCGTGATATTTATGACTGTATAGTATGATAGTAATTATTGCGACACTTTAATTTTTCTTTTTGATTGACACGTGTCTGACAACACAATCAAATTTAAACATAAATATAGTTGTTTGTGAATTGAAAAGGTCATATTGGACTAACAAAATAGGATAACAATGAGGTGGAAAGATGAGAGATTGTGTGTATACACACTCTAACATGAAACCTTCATACTTTATGTGACGACTGTCACTATAACATTTAATTTACAACACCCAGTAATATTACCGTAATTTTTGTTTGTGTAAAACAAAAATCCTAAAATAACAATTGATTTCTTGTTTGATTGATGCGTTTGATAATACAAGACAATCAAACATAGACAACATAAATACGATTATCTATGTGAATCAAAAAGGATAAAACTAACAAAACATGATAATCAAGGACCGGATGAAAAGAGGGGAGTGTGTGTGTGTATATACGTGCACTTAAAACCTGAACCCTTCATACATTATGTGATTGTTGAGCATTTATAGTGACATATAATATAAAAACTAAAAAGGATTATAATTATCGATTTCTCTAGTCACTTAAAAAAGTAAAAAATGATTGTTTATGTGAATTTATAAAGATCGAACTAACAAAACACGATAATCAAAGGATAGAGTTGGAAGATATAGACCTGTTGATTTGGTGGCAAGGAAGCCAGGAAATCGAGGAGGGGTTTGTTGTAATCGTCGAAAGTGAGGATGTCGTTAGCGTCGGAGGG